ATCTGGGCCTGACAATTTTAAATCCCATATTTTCAACCTTTCTTCTTTCCATTCAAGCATTTCTTTCTTAAACTCTACATTGACCATCTCACAATATTTTCTAAAAATTTTCTCCGGTTCTCGAACTAAATCATCAGCATCTACTAAAACAATATCCTCTCCAGTTATGTTCTTAGTCAAATCATAAAGAATCCTTGATTCTTTGAGCCAAACTTTTTCAGGAAAAAAAATGTCATATCTTTCAGAATTAGGTACGCAGGCTTTATCCCAAGCTTTATATGTAGAATTGGCAGCTTTGTAAAAAGACTTTACGAATTTTTCTGGATTTCTAATTATGAATGTGTGTTTAAATTTTGAAAGAATTTCCTTGGATCCTAATGGATTTCTGTCTAGATTTCCTTCAAATGCATCTAAAAAATTGGATGCATGTTCCTTCGCAAAAACTCTTAAGGTATGTGTTTTATCATCATTATAGTAATGAGGAGCAAGAATTTCATTAAGAGTAGGTGAGAAATGATGTACAAAAGTGATCGGATCAGTAGGTTTAGGTAACGGAATTTGATTCAAAAATTCAAAGTTTTTGGTTATATAAGCACGACTTATTGGATTAATTGGTTCATGGATAATATGGAATTCTTGAGGACATTGAAGAAACGGTTGTTCAAAAACCGTAGAAAGAGATCTTGGATGGGACCAAAGAACAATGGGTCTTTGATCCTCCATTTTTAAATGAGCAAATTCAATCTTATTCGTTCCTTTTATTAAGTTGTATAATGTAATACAAATATTAAGAGATCTGCAAATTGCAGCTCATATGAAATTTATGTAAGTTTTAAAAATGAATTAACCTCAATTGTTCTTATGTTTCACAATGATTATACCAGTACGATCATATAAAATATGAGAGGGATGGTTTAAATAATGTTTTTTGCTGTGGCCTATGCTGATTTTGAAAAAATCCTATTTTAGAAGGGGTAATGATTTTCATTTATCCATTTTCAAAAGGAGTTAAGATTTTTACATACCGTATGACATAATTCCGCATGCAGATCACTCATTATGATGCAAAATTTTTGCGCTATTGACAAAATTTAATTTACCAACGGTTATTTCACACAGTGATTCCAGTCGTTATCGTCGGTTCTGCTCATTTCACTGACACTCGTTTCGTAAACACAACATTTATCAAAAATCAATTCATCAACATGTCCATTTCACCGACACTTACATTTAAACCACATCTTTCATATTAGCGTTAATGAGCCGCAATTGATCTCAGAAATCACATGAATGAAATAATCCTACGTATGTAGGGATGGCATAAAAAACATTTTTACCGGTTTAAAACATGTGATGGGAGTTTATAAGATTAATAGTGTCGGAATTAAAATGTGAACAAGTTATAGAACAAAATAGAACAAAAATTGAACTTTTATCAGCGATTCCTTTTAATGTCAAATTTACGAGTCATTAAATATAAAATTTATTAAAATAACATGGGTACAATGAAATTGGTGCTTCTAAAAATTATTTAATTTTAACTTCTTGATATTTATTTTGCAGTTGTTAAGTGTTATTCCTGGTCTTTTTTTTCTGTGATTATTGTGTGAATTCTCATCAGAACTTTCTTCGGTGCTTTGTTCTGAGGAATCAGCTGGCAGCCACGTTGAATCGCTTAAATCTGCCGCAGTGGCGAATTGCTGTGGAGCTTCTCTTGAGCGTGGCTGGTTGCTTGAGGATCCAATAGTTGTTTGCATAGGGGAACTAATAATTTGTTTTGGTAGATTACTTGTGGATCTAGCAGCTATTAGTCTTTTAGGGAAATTGGGTGCAACCATATTGAATCACTTGAAACTTCTGGCCTAAATGGGTTGCGTGAGGCTGGTTGGTTATTCAAGTAGCCAGTTGTTCGCCAAGAGAAGCCGGTTATTTGTTCTGGCAAGTTACTTGCTGAGGCAGCTGTTATTAGTCTTTTGAATATTGGTGGTAGCAAAAACGATTACATTTTGATTTTTCTTGATTTACTGCTTGACTCTCTGGCCTTACATCGACAACCAGTAACGGCTGACTATTTGTGTGTTGTTGAACTTGCCCTTCATCAACAACTGCCTGGTTGCTTGATGTTTCGATGTTTTTAATTGTTTCTTTAGACTTCTTTCTTTTGGAGAAATCTACGTTTGGGGTGGAGTTGTTAGGATTTCACATTCATTATCGCTTGTTTCTTTGGCTACGGCGGATACGACAGCAGATGATGATGTGTTTTGATTCATTCTTCTAACGAAAAAACCACCACAGGTTTTATGACCACAATTTGTGCAATACCAATATTGGCAAGTTGAACAGTATGCGCTAAAAACTGAAAATGTTTATTACAAGATGTTTTTCTCATAATAGTTTTTACCTTTTAAAATGTCATATAAGTTGGGATTTTATATTTGGCTCCCTTTTCCAATTTAGATCAGCCACATAAATATTGATCTCCTTTATATTTTTTTTTTAATACATGCTTTTTTATACAAGTACCAATGAAATTACTATCGTACAATTTCTATAATTCATGCATTAAACCCGAAATTGAACTTGAACTAGAGCAGTTTTTATATTTAATGTTAACATTATTGCCGAATTTGGCTAAATGCGTTATAATAGACTTTAAAAACCGGTCAATATTATACTCGGTATCGACATTATATAATTCAAAAGATATCAGTTAATTGCCATGACATACTGTCTGTTATAGATAGTTCGAATTTCCGGTCTTTTTTTAGGCGATCTCTATCAGAAAAGATCATTAGTATTAAAAAGCCACATGATTATATAAATCCGTATCAGTATGAAGACTACTTTGTAATAGTTGTAATAGTGATATTTTTATTGAAATATGCGAATGAAAAGTTTATCTTACAAATCTATTGCCTCTGGAAGTTCGAATTTCAATCATTTTTTACGCAAATAAATAGAACTTCGCGATTTTCCACACGGTAAGCAAGGAAAAGGTGTAAATTGTACTTTAAGTTTGGTTTGGCACACAATTCAAAAATACAATCGTGGAGAAAGCAAATTAATAATCATGTGTGATAATTGTACAGGACAGAATAAGAATAACTATTCGTTATTTTTTTATTCATGGTTAATTGATCATAATATTTATGAAGAAGTTGAACTGAATTTCATGATACCTGGATATAAAAAATTTATTTGCGATAGCTGCTTTGGTTTAATTAAAATTCTCTACTGAAAAAGTAAAGTAAATACTGTTGACAATATGATTTTAAAAATTATTTTGAAGCATTTAAAAAACTACCCAGAATTCAAAAATATCATCACTTTTATTTTAATTCACAAAATCCCAGAGTTGTTTTTTACAAAGATGATCTTGACGATGATTACAAAAATTTTACAATTCATTCTTTTCCTTTTCTACAATTAAAGTCAGACCACTTTCTCTAAAAAGGCAAGAAGAACTATACAAAGAAATTGCACCTTATGTTGACTTGCCCTTTCGCGATATTACCTGCCCTAAACCAGAAAGTTCAAAATAAGGTAAATTGAAAATTCAAATTTGTTAGTTACGTAAATAAATTGGTTCATACTAAATTTAACAAGAACAGCTTCAGTTTATGGCAACTTTAGTATCAGATGAAATCAGTCTATATCAAGCTCAATATTAATGTTTTGCATGTCAGTCGCTGTATCATTAAACATAATGCTGAGTATAAGCGCGAACACTATGTTTAATACTGTGCCCGGTGCTTGCCAGACTCAGTATAAAATAATTGCAAAATAAATAAATACAGCTCAAGATTATTTTATTAAAAATATAAGGTTTATATTAAATAAAATAATTAAACATGAAATATAAATCTTAGAAATAAAATAAAAACAAATACTGTAATTATAAAAATACAAAGCGTGAATGGTATGTAAAATATAAAGACAAATTTTTAAATAAAAATTTAAGTTTTATGTTTTGCGTGTTATAAATAAAATAAATATATGAAAAAAGAATTATATTCTTAAAAAAAATTACTTGCAAGAAATTTTTTGGGCTGTTAAATGCGTTTTTTTTAAAAATTTATCGCGGATCACATGATAATTTTAAATCGTGATTTTTCACGATCATCTGATCTTCACATTGCCACCTTTTGCTACAGGGGTCCCATATATGCAATTTTAAACAATTTTAAAATTGTTAATTATAAAGCTGACATCCTCTGAATATTTGGTTCATATCAGGCCTACCGAATAATTGATTGTGGGAGCAATTAATTGCAATATTTCGAACCCAATTAATTGATTGGTGGCGCAGCCATAATTGGTCAATTAATTGCAATTTTACGTAATTGGATTACATCTATATCTGCCATTAATCACAGCAAATAAATACGATTTTGGATTTTTCACTGTTTAAAAATCGGATTATATCAGACATCGCTTTACGCAGAAAATTGAATTTAATTGCAATTAATTGCAATTATTTCGTCATTAATTGGGTTTCAATTAATT